TTAATTACTCAATTATTAATAAAGATCGGCAAAAGTAATTCCCATCACACCTTATTATAGGTCAAATAGTCTAAAAACTCCACAGCGATTCTTTAAAAATTTCTCTATTAAATAATTCATTACAAACATTACTTATTATCAATAAATTCCAAGGCTTTTGCCTCATTATTACACAGATTCCTCTAATTTCTTGCCTTGTGTACATCAACGAGATTGAAATCCCAAACTTCTTGGCTCAATATTATACATATAAATCGACTCCGCGGAGCAAACCAGAAACGTTGTTCGAAATGCAAATATTACTCCGTGATGGAAAAGTGTACAAGTTATTACAACTCCTTTTGAAATTTGTTCTGTTTCGTTAACGTCGGACAGCGTAATTGAATGATTCTACCCTCGTAGTGGAATACAGCGCAGTGAGAAGTCCCAGGAACAATTCGATTAATTGTACCGCTAAAGGAAATTTTAAATTAGAAGGGAACAAAGATAATATCCCGGTTCGTTCTCCTTTCTTAAGGTGGCTGCATAGCGCGCAGTCTACGTCGTCCGTTCGACCAATTATTAAAAAAAAAAAAAACGAGAGCATTAATTGAAGCATGCCGGTTCATCAAACGTCGATAGAAGATCCCTTTCAGCGGCCAAGAGATTCTAATTAAAAGAAAAATACGTACAAGACAGACTTATAAATTACATTCTCCTGCCGCGATCGTGGCAATCTATTTATGGCCAAACTCGGAGAACGTCAACTACCAATTTTTCATCAGACCCCACTAATCCGATTTCTTTGGTTCCGATAGGGATCTGCAGGTAAACAATAGACGTTGCGTCTAATTAAAAATCAGACGAATTCGTGCTGCGAATACAATCTTCGCAATTACCTTTTCTCGTCGCTTCAACGTCATATGGGTTATCGTAGAGAGGATGTAGTTTTAATTATTGAAAGGCAAATTGTATATACAATTATATCGCGTAGGAATATTTTTTCTGTAATTTAATCTTTGACGATTCGTTTTGTTGATTTATTACGGTCTTTTTTTTTATTCGGGTGCATTCGCGCTTTATATTACTACTGATCCTGAGCATTGCATTCATATCGTAAGCAGTTACAACCGTAGCTATTTATGGTTTTTCGAGAAATTAGTTCTTCGCTGACATCGAAGCGTCATCTAGCGGCCAAACCTGGAGATGTTCTTAGTCTTAAAATATTCGTAGCGATACACTGCGTCGAATTGCATAATTTGAACTAATTATGCTTTCCACAGAATTTCGCAAGCAACGAGATACTTCCGCAATCTAGCAGCCAAACATTCGAACTAAACCAGGAGGATTTTATTTATTGTTGGAAACAGAGATATCGTAAGGAGTTACAGCGATTACCCGATCGAAGGCGAGTGCGTTTCGATATTAGTGGGGATCTATTATTCAAAATAACTTCTCATATTCTCATCATTTTGTAATCAAAAATTTTAATTATGACTTACTAGTTCTCAAGTTATTTAATTAAGGGGCGCTAGAGTGTAGTCCCGTGATTTTTCGGATTATCTAGCTGTACAGATTTTGTTACAGGAATGGTATTACCCAGAGATGTGTAGCTGTTTGACAAATGCGAGAGATGGAGCCACCGGTATTTTCTATTAGGATATTTTCTTATAACTTTTGAACCATTGGAGATATTGCAATCAAATTTTCATTAAAAACATTTCAGAAATAATCATTCGTAACTTTGAGTAATTAAATACTTTTAGCAGACAAGCCGCGATAGTTTGTTTCGCAATGCTATAGTCAATTAAAATTAATAAGAAATTGTTTCATGAAATATTTTATCAGTGACATTGGTAAGGTGCCATATCAAAATGATTTCATTCAATTGTATAATATCATTGTGACGTACCCTAAACGATACTTTCCCTTTTTGTGAGGGACACCATTGGCAGCAGAACTCCAGTGCAGGCAGTAAAGTGACAGTTGCCAAAGCCTCGGTCGTCACTTGAACATCTTTGCTATGTTTTTCCCGGAAGGGATTTTTCCCATCGCGACCTTGAAAAGCATACATTTTTCTGACTCGTTTGATTTTGGTGGGACGTCTGCATTTTTTTTAGTGCGCCCTTGTTTTAATAAACCGCGACTTTGCCGCCAAATTTGCGGTCTCGTGTGAATTACTTCATATCAATTACTGTATTGGCAAAATGCGGAACACAAAGCTGTAGTCGATTGTTTTCTCGGCGACAGATTGCCGCGACGGCAAACGACCGCCAACCGGTCGTCCGAAGCCAGCCTTAGAAAGCCATTCTGTATGCCAAAGTGAAAAAAAAATTAAAACTGACGAAAAATACATAGCATGTATTTTCAGATTGTTTATTCAAATTAAAACTTGCGAAGCTAAATGTAGAATTTATTTATTAACATGAACCACTATTTTTTAGACATTTCCAGTAATCTGTGAACAAAATGTTTTGAATACAAAGCAAATTATGTTTTCCCTAAAAAATACTTAAGGCAAGCCTGACTTTCGTTAAATGATATCATATATTTTGGACTTCGCATCACCTTGAGTTCAGAAATGCGGGTTTGATTAAGAAAAACGATAATATGGAAAATTATTTGATGATTTCTGAATCCAATTACATATTCATAATAAACTAATAAAACTGGTAGACAAATCTAACAATATAACGATAATACCGTCTCTGTTGATTGTATCTAAGTTTTTGAATTTAAAGTCATCTAAAGGTAATGGTTATAGTAAATTGAAGCAGTCCTTCAGCTACTAAATTGTGAAATCAATTTTACAAAGTCAAGATCACTGAAGAATACATAATTCCTATACGAAACACTTCTTTGGCAGCATGATGATTATTCAGATATTGCTTAAAACAACACATTTGATCATTGATTTATTATAAATTCAGCCTTATTAAAAAGATCCATATTTTCTCACTTCATGCCATTTTCCCATCTTCACAATATTTTGCTTGCCTGATTCTATCTTCACCTCACACATCATGTGACACCGTGTCACACAAGAGTGTGAAATAGAACTGCTACTATTTCTCAGCTTACAAATACTTGCTGAAGTAACTAATGATGTTAAAGCTTCTTCTGGTAGACGACAGTTTCCCTATTTTTCTGGAATTCAACTATAAAAATGAGCAGTCATCGATATCTTCAGCACTAAAATCGACCTTTTCTTCCTTTACCCGTGTCACCAAGTGACCAGATTTAGCAGCTGTATGCAAAACTGTTCTGCCGTCATCGCCTTCAGCATTAAAATTGATCTCTTTTTTTATTTTTCAGAAATTCAACTATCTCCAGGTTATCAGAGTTAGCAGCCATATGTAAAACTGTCGTGCCAAATTTGTCCTTAGCGTTAAAATCGACACCTTTTTCATTTACAAGAAATTTAACCATCCCCAGGTTACCAGAATTCGCAGCGGTGTGCAAAACTGTTCTACCATGATTGTCTCTAGCATTAAGATCAACCTCTTTTTCATTAATCAGAAATTTAACTGTCTCCAGGTTATCAGAGTCAGCAGCCGTGTGTAAAACTGTTCTGCCATGATTGTCGCTTGCATTAAAATCGACTTCTTTTTCATCAATCAAAAATTTAACCACGTTCAAGTGACCAGATTTAGCAGCCGTATGCAACACTGTCATGCCATCATAGTTTCTAGAATTAAAATCGACCGATTTCTCGTTTATCAGAAATTTAACCGTCCTCAAGTTACCAGACATAGCAGCCCTGTGTAAAACTGTTGTGCCAGATTTGTCTTTAGCATTAAAATCGACCATTTTTTCATTTATAAGAAATTTTACAATCTTTAAGTTACCAGAATGAGCAGCCCAGTGCAAAACTGTTTTGCCGTCATAGTCTTTGGTTTCAAAATCAGTCGCTTTATCATTTATCAGAAATTTAATCATCATCAAGTTACCAGAGATAGCAGCTTTGTGCAAAACTGTTACGCCAGATTTGTTTTTAGCATTAAAATCGACCTCTTTTTCATTTATCAGAAATTTAACAGTGTCCAAGTGACCAGATTTGGCAGCTGCGTGCAGAACTGTTGTGCCACCAATGTCTGTAACATTAAAATCAACCATTTTTTCATCGATCAGATATTTCACCATGTCCAAATGACCAGCTTCGGCAGCCGCATGCAAAACCGTTACGCCATGATCGTCTGTAGCATTAAAATCGACCGCTTTTTCATTTATCAGAAATTTAATCATCTCCAAGTTACCAGAGATAGCAGCCCCGTGCATAACTGTTATGCCAACTTTGTCTTTAGCGTTAAAATCGACACCTTCTTCGTTTATCAGAAATTCAACCATCTCCAAGTTACCAGAGGCAGCAGCCCAGTGCAAAACTGTCTTGCCATCATAGTCTGCAATTTCAAAATCGACCGCATTTTCATTTAGCAAAAATTGAACCGTCTCCAAATTACCGGAGATGGCAGCCAGGTGCAACACTGTCATGCCAAATTTGTCTGTAGCATTAAAATCGATCTCTGTTTCGTACGCCAGAAATTCGACTATGTCCAAATGACCAGATTCAGCAGCTACATGCAAAACTGTCATGCCATCGTCGTCTTTAGCATTAAAATCGACCGCATTTTCATTTATCAGAAGTTTAACCGTCTCCAAGTTTCCAGATGCAGCAGCCTCGTGCAAAGCTGTTCTGCCACAATTGTTTCTAGCATTAAAATCGATCTCTTTTTCATCCACCGGAAATTTAACCGTGTCCTGTTGTCGAGATTCAGCAGCCGCATGCAAAACTATCATGCCGGCATTGTCTTTAACATTAAAATAGACCGCTTTTTCGTTTATCAGAAATTGAATCGCGTCTACGTGATCAGATTTAGCAGCCGTATGCAAAACTGCCATGCAATTATTATCATTATCTTTAAATTCGGCATCTAATGCTGTCTTACAACCTAATGCAGAAAGAAATGTAATTAACATTCATCATTTTTTTCTCACGTGCAATATTCAAAACTGTTTCGCCGCTTGTATTTAGAGTATTAATTGCTATTCCGTCCTTAAGTCAGTTTTCAATTTCTTTAAAAGAAAATAACTAACCATTGCTGAGCAGCCTCTGTTCACATACTAAATCATTCTGATGTTCTAGTCTTTCAGGCATATTGTTATCTTCACATACTATCTTACTTGTCAGCATCTGTCGACATCAATAAATATTATGATCATCTATGGACCTTTAAATCATGGCGCACCTAATAGAAAAATTCGGAAAATTTTTTCAAAATCTCGACAGCCGTGACGTGTCACCATTATTTTCACAATCAATGCGGGCATTTAGAAAGTGAAACGAAGGACAACCTATAACTACCCCTCCAGTCACGATAGGGAGTTAAAACTTTGAACAAAACGTTTTCTTTTTATAATCTATCGAATGGCATAGCAGCCGTTTGAATCAACTAAAGGACAGTTTTGAACCCCTTGAGCATCTATTATACCTTTTCAACCCTGGAACCCTACGCATCAGAAAATTTTTACAGCTTTTTCGTTCGCAAGCTATAGTAGCAAAAGAATTAAAAACCAAAAAAGAAATCGCAAAAATACGGATCTTTGAAAAACAAAAAATGTTGCACTCGGGGAATTTTAATTCTATCATAAGATCCATCATCGATTTTTATGGGCTTGAAATGTGTTGTCAACGTTATCGTTCTGAATAATTCTTTTTTTTATACAGTGATGGACAAACATATTTACCTTTAGAATGATAATTTTCTGAAAAGTGGACTACATGAATTATATTTATTTTTAGGAGATAGAACGATCATTCTACTAGATCAGGCATGAGCGAGTTATTTCGGCAATGGCCACAAGCCACTACTCCACTACTACTACTACTACTCTGTGTACATTACTACAAATAACATGAACAGCCCTGCGTGGAGCACAGAGGAAACAATGTCATATCGTTTTTCGTGTTCCGTAGGTGTGAGAGGAACGAGTCATGGTACGTGACTCGCCCATGCCCAATACCCACGTCCATGCCCTAATTACTAAAATACTTTTTTTTAATATAGTTATTGCTTGAAATAACAAAAAAATAAGAACTTTTTAAAATTTTTTATGTGAGTCTATAAGTCTAATAATATATATAATATAATATAAGTCTAATAAAAGGGAGAGAGAGAGAGAGAGAGAGAAAGAGAGAGAGAGAGAGAGGGAGAGAGAGAGAGAGAGAGAGAGAGAGAGAGAGAGAGAGAGAGTCTAAAAGTCTAATATTTTTGTGTGAGTCTTAAATCTTTCAATGGTTCACACCTGTGAATAAACATTTTTTTTGAGCTAATTGTTATTTAACTATCTATTTTTTATTGTATTATTTGTGTTACTGTTTCAACGAGGGGTCAAAATTGAGCAGCGGATCACAATAGGTACTTTGACCTTACCCCGCTAACGATCTTCCTATAAAAAGAAAATCGAGTGAAAGAACAGAATGTGTTGTGTGCCATTGACAGAAATTACATTTTCAATTTGTAATCAACACATTATATTTCCTATTTTTTGTTCTTTCCAAAATACACTATTAGTACTTTAAATCCTTATTCCTAAACTATTTTTACAATTTTATAATTTTGCAATTAATATGGTAAGCGAAGGAAGAACCTGCGAGCTAATAATCACCATTTTTTATGTATATAGTACAACTATTACTTTTTGTGTATACATATAGTTTCCCTTAAAATATTATTCAGACATTAAAAAGAAATCATTTTGTGTGTATGAAAACATGTGAGCATATCATACAGTAGAAGAATGAATAAGAATATGGTTAATGAAAAAAATATTTAAATCGCGTTAAAAAGATTTGAAGTCTAATACCCTCCTACCCAGAATGCACATGATGTCTTAAAGACGTTCATCTTAGAGCCCACCTCAGTACATGTTTAAGACTTCTTTAAAACATTGAGTTTAGGTCGCCGGAACTATAGACATTGTTTTGGCATTTAAAATATACGATATCTCAAAGACATCCAGAATTAAATGTTCTTTTGACATCTAAAATCATTCAGGACATCTTAACATTTAGAAAAGACTTCCAGTCAAAAAACCGCAATTTTCACCACTACGGAGAAAATAACTGTGCATCGACTGGACTCTTTACCTTAGTTAAAACTTCACCAGGATGATCTTTGATTTTTCCATTTTTTGTAGAATTTTCTTCAACATTGGGAACCGGTTTCTCACATTTATTCTCGTCGCTTCTGGCATCATTCACTGGTTCAGCATTAACATTTTTCTTTCCCATTTTACTAACATTTTTTGAGCGCACGTTTCAAGCAATTCCAATGCTCCTGTTTTTTATAAAACGAAAAATCAGTTACTTTGTGTCACAAATGAAAGCAAACACTTTGTCCAAGCCTGGGATAGCTGGTACTCACTCGAGGTTCCTACGATATTAATCTCCTGTACCAGAACTAGTCCTGTAAAAATTAAAATGTTTTAAATTTACGTTTATATTACAAGTAGTCTCTCATTTAGAATGCAGACTTCCTCCTCAAACAGTTAAACGAGAATCCCATGAAACTAAATATCACGTGCAGGTACGCACATCCTCGCCATCAGCTTAGTCGAATTTTGGTATAATAATGAGTATAATAATTTGTTATAACAATTTCGTATAACTTTGAAAGTATGAAAATACCATAAATTCGATTCTCATGGGGCATTATCTCAAAATCGACACTGTATATTACCATACAGTTCACATTCGATTTAAATTTGATCTCCCGCGCATTTCTCATTGTAACAAGTCCGAGAGCACGTCAACACAGAATCCGTGAAACACTAAATACTGAAACAATTGAAAAATTCCAAACTATTTTAGCAATATACAATACTTTAGTATCGGTATATTGAGTTTAATTTAATTTATTAATATATCCTCAACGATTTCGTTGCTAGTAATAGCCACATCTCTATAGACACGTGCTGCTCGGATTGTATCATACTATTCGAAAAAGTTACGAAGCGAATATTGAATGCCCGGGACAATTATTTGACCAAATCAAATAATTTTATTTGATTTTGTGAGAACACAAGTATTTAGGAATGAAATAATGTCATTATTTACCACAAATTCACGAAAAACTGCACAATACAGAAATAAATAAGTTATTATATTTATAAATATTATGTGTTTGATTATATTATTTCACTTCAAATTTTCTTTCGTTATTATTGATTTAAACGAGACGGTTCTGTTGGAGGTTTGTTTAAATAATCTACGATACTGATTATGATAATTATTTCAGATATTGGATATTTAACAATTATCTTCGACACGTCCTCACGGTACAACGGTTTCCCCAAGAAGAAGGACGTAAGTACGTTTTAGAATAACAAAACACTCTCGCCGCGCACACAAGGATACGAAAAGCCTAAATCCAATACATGTCACAAGTAGGAACAACAGAATGGGTGTGTAAACATACAAATTATAAATGCAGTGTGTAGTGAGGTAAGTGCGAATGCATCGTTGTGTGAATGTAACGATCAGATATTGTTTCAGTTTTCTTCTATTTTTATCTTGTTTTTAATCCAAAGACATTATTTTTTAATTTCATATAATCAATAAGATGAATACATTAGGAATATTATTGATATATGTTGCAATAATTTTTGTTCTTAGATATTCAATTTATATTGTTATAGCTTTAAGGGGACATAGATGAACATAATATTTATTGATATCGACAGATACTGATAACAATATACCTTATAGATTTAAAAAAATCAGTGGACTAGCATTTATTAAATGTCCCACATTTTGTGTATTAAAATTGCTGAAATTATAAAGACTCTCTTTTATAGGAAGTGATCGAACAAATTTCTTAACCCAAGTACCCATTGTACTAAAAATTGTTAAACCTCAAAATAAATTCAGACCTGTTATTCTTACAGGGTAACACACATTCGTCACTTTTAAGTAGATTTAATGTTTCAGATTATTTAATAAATCTCATTTATAACTGTTACATAACTGTGCTGTTGTAATTGGGATGTGGTGATGTGTGTAGTTTATGTTACACTGGCTATGGCCTTAGCTTTTATATCGAGTATATTAAAAAGACACAGCTTGGAAGAGTGCATACTTTTAGAAATTCGTATTCGTGATCGGTGGTGGTGTACTATGGTATATTGTAGGAGAACTACAGGGTGTCCCACAATTATTTTAACAGCCGAAAATGAGGGGTAG